CGACGCGCTGCTCGACGCGCTGTTCGCCTCCTCCAATACGGTCCGTGGTATACGATTGCCGGGCCTGCCCGACGCCGGACCTTTATTCTCCCTGTCCTCCGCCTGCCGCGTGGATGGATTGCTCTCGCCTACCGCTTCCTTCTCTAGCTTCTCGCGGCTCCCGCCACCCTCGCTCACCCGTCTTCGCCGGCTGTTGCGCGCCGAGTTCTTCTCTGAAACAGAACGAACGGTGTTAGGTCAATCTAATTCTATCTTGTAAGAAATTTTTTTTAATTTTTAATTTTGTGAGAAAATTTGCGTGATGGAATTTTATCCGTTAAAAAAATTTGTTTGGATGGGGAGGGTTAGTTATTTTATTACAGCGTGATAATTTTTGGAAATAATAATCATGGTTCGGATTCTTGATAAGGGGGAGGAGGAGGATGTCGAGAGGAGATCGGAGATATCGGCGGGTGAATTTTATGTTATGCGTCGTTCAACGTGTAATCACTTTTATCGATCGAGTAACCGGTGTCCCATGTTTACGCGGTAAGTGGAAGGTTGTTCGCGTACCCTTGTTCATCCTTGTCGATTAAGGTCGATCGATTCGACGTAGCCAGTCGCTGTGACGGCCGTAGTGTCACGTAAGCAATTACAGAGGACGAGCATCTATAGCCCCCCCCTCTCTCCTCTGCCGACGACACGTTCGATGACTTTTAAGCGTATTTCGAACGTGTGATTATATTGGTAATGGTATGCACATACGTTTGTAAATAATAATAGGATTATGGAATTAGGGCATCTCTCCTGGTATTAGAGAAATACTGATATCTGTTATGACGAATTTTTTCGCGCGATGATAAATATATTTTCTTTCTTTCTGTTTCGTTCTATGCGTAAAATTAAATTATAAAGAAAGAGGGAGGGAGATAAATATATATATATATAAATTTATGATATTCAATTAATTTTTTCAAACTATTCGTTAATGGTTAATTGGTGAATTATTGTATCGAGAGAGAGGTTCTTTTCATCGCATGAAAATCTAATTGAATTATCACGGAAAAATTATTTTTAAAAGAAAATGAAATGAAATTGAAATTCTCTCTCGTTTAAACAAATTCTGTTTGTGTTTAATTCATTACAATCAGCGAGGGGTAGAAGGAATAATAATTATATTTCTGTCATCTCTATTTTCGAAAGATCGGATTTAAAAAAAAAAAAAAAAAAAAAA